ACGAACTGCTGCTCACCACCGAACAACAATATTCACCAAGCGGCTTCCGTTCCATCCAGCAGTCTCTAAACGTGAAGAAGAAATCCCCCCCAATAACGAGACAGAAGCTCCGCATTGAGGGTCAAACAGGATCTGGCTTTACTGTGGGCTACCTGCCCGTATTATGCAGGTCTCCCACTTGGTGGACACTCCCCTAGGGGACCAAATGGGAGACTTAAATGACAGACAGATATGGGGACTCTGACGAGACCAATCTCGCCACATTGCATTGGAGAAGCCTGGTTGCTCGCCTGCTGCCTCTGGACTATGGCCCCCCTGTTAAAAGACTTTATTTCGCCTGCAGAAAAGCTGTATTCGTGCTTTTCTGCCGGTTGTTCGGTAGATTCAATCTACCGAACAACCACACGAATGAATGGACCACCTGGGAGCTGGAGTGTGCCGGCAATTAACCTCCCTGAAGCTGCGGTTAACCGCAGCTTAATTGACGAATGCTGGGTGGCCGCCATTCGTATCCCGAACATGAGGTCGCGGCCATTTTAAACATACGAATGCACAGCGGTGTAAGCCCCTATTTTCATGGAACTAAAATCAGACACAGTTTTGCGCGAACACCGCTGAAGCCGCCGACCTCCTTTCTTGTTCGGTGGAAGTGCCTGAACGGCCCGGTGTTCGGTAGTTTTGTGTGAATGTGTTATACCCCAGATAGGAATCCCATGGAGCCTATTCGTATGAAACTGACTGTAAAGACTTTGGCTCCATGGCGATTAAACTGTATTCGTGTGGTCTGAGCGCCATTCGCTTAATAATGTGCGCTCAGACCTGAGCTATCTGGGGATATGTTACATGCCTGTGTTTTATGTAATAAATGTTACTTTATGTATTTTAAAGTATAATACTGGTTTTGTGTCCCCACATGTGTAATGGAGTTTTGCCTTTGTCTTGGGAGATAATTGAGTTACTTCTCAATTATCTCCCAGGGCAGAGGGGAGGAAGCCAGGATGCATTGTGGGAATATACTGTGGCTGTGTGTCCTATTTGTCTACTTGTCTGTCCTTGTCACAGTCTCCCATTTGGTCCCCTAGGGGAGTGTCCACCAGGTGGGAGACCTGCATAAAAGCCGGGCAGGTAGCCCTCATTAAACAGACCACTGCTTGACCCTCAACACGGAGCTTTGTCTCGTTCTTGGGGGGATTTACTGTATGCTGCTAAGGACTGATTGCCAGGAGTGTAAGCCGCTTGGGAGCTTTTCCTGTTCGCCTGTTAGCAGCTATTCGTGAGGTTCGAGTTCGGGAGTTTGGAGTGCTACCTTATTCCCTTGTATGCAGTTCGGGAGTTTGATGCATTCACTTGTATTCAATTCCTGAGTTTTGGTGATCCTACAGTAGCTGTGCCTGTCTCTAAAAGGGGATTATCGTCTAAGCGGTTTTTACCCCTTTTGTGCAAAACGGTCCGTTACAGGGACATTCCAGACACACAGTCACAGATTTTACCCACAGTGCATTATGATTCCCTCCCCTCTGCCCTGGAGTTAATTACCAAGTAACTCAATTAACTCCAGGACAAAGCCAGTCGCCATTTTAAATATAAAATCACAAAAGACATAAAAATATATAACTTCACAAAAACCGAACATTTCCCATTCGTATCACATATCCCCAGATAGCCTGGATCTGAGTGCATATTATTGGCGAATAGCGCTCAGATCCCACACACATAGTTCAATCACCATGGAGTCAAAGTTCTTACAGTCTTTCGGTATACGAATGACTCCATGGGAAGGCTATCTGGGTTAAGTCTTTTCGTATGCTCCAAAACTCCCGAACGGCCGGTGTTCGTATGGTTTCGTGGAGGCAGCCAGGCGTTCCGTTGTTTCAGCGGTGTTCGGCAGAAAAAGTGTCCGTTTTTAGTTCCATAGAAATAGAGCCAAACACCGCTGGGCTTTCGCTTGGTTTAAAATGGCCGCTGCCTCGTGGTCGACATACGAACGACGACCACCCTGAATTCGGTTTAATTGAGAAGTGTCTGCGGTTAACCACAACGTTCTAATTGGGATCAATAGGTTAACCAGCAGCACTCTTCTCTCCTGGGTGGCCGTCCGTTCGGCAGATTTGTTCGGGAAAAAGAGTCATTCGAATGGCTGAGCTATAGAAACCAGCCATTCATACGAACGGGAGACAAACAGACGAATGCAATTAAAATACAAGCAGACAGATGGTTCTGTCACAGTACACAAGCACACAAAGGACGCAAACCAATGAAAACAATACAACAATGTCTGACACTCCCATTCATTACAGCAAAATCCTCCCCTCTGCCTGTTATATAATTACTGAACACAATGGGCTAACGTAATTGTTAAGACACCCCTGGCACAAAGGAGTGAAATCACCGTTTAGTTAAGCTTCCCCTTCCTCAATAATGCAGGCTCAATTTGTGTATACTTCAACCGTACAAACTGCAACCAGGGGAATGCGCCAATCTCCCGAACAATAAATCCATGAATCGCGGCTAACAGCCGAACCAATATGTTCTCCAAGCGGCTAACGTTTCCGGCAATCACTAACCGTGTGTAGTAAATCCCCCCAATAACGAGACCAACCTCCGCATTGAGGGTAAAACAAGAACTGGCTTTACTGTGGGCTACCCGACCCGTATTTATCCAGGTCTCCCACTTGGTGGACACTCCCCTAGGGGACCAAATGGGAGACTGTAACTACAGACAGACATATGGCACTTTAAGACATACAGGCACAAAATATTCCCATAATGCATCCTGGTTTCCTCCCCTCTGCCCTGGAGATAATTGAGAAGTAATTCAATTATCTCCCAGGACAGAGGCAAATCGCCATTTTAAATGAGATACAGAAAATACACAAAAATGAATAATTGTACAACTACTGACTATATTCCATTCGCATAATGTAACCCCAGACAGCCTGGATCTGAGTGCATATTCCTACCGAATAGCGCTCAGATCCCATACGCACAGTTCAGTCGCCATGGAGTCAAAGTTTCTTACAGGTCTTTCGGTATGCGATGGACTCCATGGGATGGCTATCTGGGTTAAGTTCATTCGTATCCTCGGAACTCCTGAACGGCCCGGTGTTCGCATGCCTCACCGAATAAGAAGGGCGGTTGGTGGATTCAGCGGTGTTCGGTAGAAAAAGTGTCAGTTTTTGGTTCCATAGAATCTGTGCCAAACACCGCTGGTCTTTCGCCTGTTCTAAAATGGCTGCCGCCTCGTGGTCGGCATACGAACGACGACCACCCGACATTCGGTTATAATTAAGAGGTGTCTGCGGTTAACCACAACGTTCTAATTGGGATCAAGAGGATAACCAGCAGCACACTTCTCTTCTGGGTGGCCATCCGTTTTGTAAGTTCATTCGGTAAAAGTTCAAACAGACAAATAGGGGTATACGGACAGGCAATTCCACAAAGGGGAGACAAACCAGCAATATTAGTCTTACAGATGAATCTGTCACAGTAATTATCACAGGTAGGAAAATATACAGTTTTTCACAATATTCATAACTTTAAAAGTATACATCACATTCACATGAATTCACTTACATATTCAGAATCCGCATACTCCAAATACAAACCTATGTAAAAATCATACAAATTGGTCCAGTGGTTCAAAAGATAGATGGACGTCCTATTTGACTAACTGCAAGCATGGCTTGGGTATGGTTAGCCAATTATCTCCAGCATACAGAAAACATCTCTATTCACAACAGCAGCAAAAAATAAATAAAAAATACATAATTCCTATCATACTGAACAGAACCCCCACATTCAGCCTATCCCCAGATGGTTTGGATCTGAGCGCCCATTATAGGTGAACAGCGCTGAGATCCCATGAACACAGTCCACTCGCCATGGGGTTAAAGTTTAGCATGGGCTGATGAGAATTTGAGGAGGGACAGAGCAGCTAGTTTAAACTGGTCTGGCAGTGTCCCTGGGACAACACCCTGCTGGAGAACAATAGCACAGGAAATGGGGAAGAGGCACACCTTCCCAGGGCTTCAAAGGGGCAGAAAAAGTATTTTAAAAGTCCCAATATGCCCACATATAGTTTTTAAAGGGCCATACACCCCAGGGCCATAGTCAGGAGGCTGGCAATCAGGCTCCTCCAAAAGCCAGGGGCAAAGGGCAGTTGGTCACATAAAAACCCAGTGACAAAAGGCAGTTTGTCACAAGCTCCATATATCATTGTGATTGTGTAACTGTTCGTTCTAAGAGTTTCTGATAGCTGCTATGTCTTTTTAGTCTGTTTTTAATTTAAAGGTACAGTCTAAGCACCATAACCACTAATGCTTAGTGAATTAAGGTGCAAATAGTCTTTGGAATATCTCTCTCCCATAGCTCTCAGCCTATCATTTCAAACCGTATTTGATTAAGCCAATGCAAAAGTTTGTTTCTGCATTAGCCAAGCCACAGCAGAGGTACTCTGTTTTTAGGTGCTGGGACAGATGCATTTTTGTTTTGTAGTTTGAGAAGAAGTGCGGTATAATGCTCTCAGAAATGGTCTACAGCAGATCGTTTTGGCACTCCAGATGTTGTGGACTGTGTGATTCATAATGATCTTACAGTCGTCATGCTGACAAACCATCAGAGATGTAGTCCTCAGCATCTGGAGCGCAGATTGCCTATCCCTGCTGTACACCATAACCACTAAAGTGAACATTGTCAGAGCTTGTTCTCAAATCTGTTAAAGGCCAAGCTAAAACTACAACTGAAACAATGACAGGTACAAAGAGGGCTGCCTTTTATGTCATGTGCATTTCATGAATAGAATGAATAAATGACTGGTTCCATGTTTTGTTTTTTTCTTTCCACCAGGAGAATTCCTCTGATCTCAAGAGCACCTACTGCAGAGTAGAGATTGCTTGACAAACTGTATGACACCTGGTAAGCTCTGCCATCTCTCGAGATTAGTGTTGGGATAAAGAAAGCCATTAAGTGACTACAGGTAGAAAACTAGAAGCCAGAGGTTAATGTTTCACAGCTCCGTAATGAATGACCAGCTGATCAGACAGGTAAGGGAGAAAATATATATATATATATACACTTCTCTCATCTCATCCCGTTTTTTTTGCATTGATGGGAGGGAAACTAAACTCAAGGATATACAGATCTCTTTTTTGTAACCCGCCTAGACTTTCTGTGGCTGTCGAATCCTAGTCTTCCCAATGCATTTCAAATCCTTGCAAGGCAGGTGTCTGGGCAATTGATGCCTCTTGAGTTTAGCTCCACTGAGCTAAACAAACCAGGAAGTATAAGGACAGATTATCTGATTGACAGCCAGTGTGGTGTAGCAAGGCTAATTTATAAAACTATGAATTTCCATTGAAATCTACACTCTTTTTATACAATGGGGGGAAAATAAGACATACTATTCATATACAAAGCATTTCAGCATGCTACGGGGATCTAGGAGTCTGCAGTATAAGAACATTTTATTAGATTTACTATTCTAATAGTTATTTTGTTTGTTCATGGCAGCTGAAACTGATTTGTGCACAAATCTATCAGAGACTGTTTTGAGACTGATTATTTTTAACAATGAAAATATTTTTTTATTTAGGATCAGTGTGAGTTTGAGGAGGTGGCCGTTTACTTCTCCGAGGAGGAGTGGGACTATTTAAATTATGAAGAGAAGGAGCTTTACCGGGATGTGATGATGGAGAATTTCCAGACCCTCAGCTCTCTGGGTAAGAAAATCCAATCCTTCTTAATGATCTTAATCTTTTACACCTGAAAACAAAACATGTTTTCAGACACAGGGCTGGATTAAGAGCCTATTGGATCTGGTTCTGCTGATTATGATGAGAATTATTGAAGAATCATTGTGATAGGAAGCACTAAAACAGCCATTCCTCCTCCGTATCTTGCATCTGGTGAAGGTGGTGTTTAGCAATACTCTTACCCTATATATAACTTTCTTACATCTGAGCCTGGTTTTCCTGTCCATCTAACAAGCCTCACGGCTCTCATATCCTCTCTCCAACTAATCTCAAACTCTGAATCCTGTCTGTTCAGGATGTATTTGTCCACTCTTCATTTCCTTCATACTTGCATGCAGGAGCTCCTGGTATGCAGTCTGGGACATAGAACTAAAGGGATGTAGTGAGTGTACCAGAAAGGGCCATAACTAGGACCCAGTGCTGGAATAAAAAAATGCCCACCTTTAATGCTCAAGTAATACATCTAGGTGGGATGTATGTGTTGGCTGAGTGTGAGGCCACGTAAATACTTTTCTGCTTCACTACATTGAGCGCAAGAGAGAGCTTAAAGTGCTCCCTGATCTCTGCCTCCTTTTGACAGGTGGAACTCCAAGACACGATCATAATGGCAACTGTTGTGACCCTGGTATTTCTACCACTGAAGGAAACTTGGCACACTTTTCAGAGATAACAAGAGCATGTTGGACTGTTAGAGAAATAGAAGCTGCAGGAGTATTTGCACAGTGCATTACTTGTTTTCCATTGCTCAATATAATAGATTAAGAACATGTGAGGAGGAGTGAAGTAAATCAAATAATTTCGTATTTTCCACCAATAATGGGTCTATTTCATGGACATGGTCCATTAGCCCTGTATTAATCCAGCCCTGTTTACACACATTCTACTAAATCACGGATAAGATTTTATTGGCCTACAATGCACGGAATTCTTTGCAATACATGGCCAAAGAATCATGGGCGTTGTTTTTCAAAAACATCTAAGAGGCCTAGCGTTTGACATACCTGTTGTAAATCACTCAATATATATATGAAATATATAAATCAGAATAACATCTTATTAAATACAAACAGGATGGATCAATACAGTGCCTCAAATTATATCTGTGATAGAGCGAGGAGAAGATCCCTCTGTAAAGGGTCACCGATGGATTAAGGCGACACAGAGTCCTACAAACAGTGACACGGGTTAGTAATGAATAATAAACATGCATGCACGGCACTCTGACGGGGGCGGCATTTGTCATCAGTGGCGGCTCTCTAATTAGGTGAGTTTGGCGGCCACCTAAGGCCTTGCACCAGCCTAACTCGCCATGACTTTGTCAGGTCCTCCTTCCCTCACCGGGGACCCGACACCAAGAGGGGGCCCGGTGGCTTGCTTGGTATGCCGCCGGATGCGAGACCCCTACAGTCTGCCCTGAGAGGCAGAGAGCCAGCACAGTCTGGAGCTCCGCCGGGTGTGAGCGGCAGACTGTGCAGTGTCTCGCGATTTCTGGCCAATCAGAGCGTTGCCGCAGGTTACCACAGCAACGCTCTGACTTCTGGAGATCGGGAGACACTGCACAGTCTGCCGCTCACAACCGGCGGAGCTGCGGACTGTGCTGGCTTTCTGCCTCTCAGGGCAGAATAGAGAAACAGCCCACCTGACCACGAGGGATCAAAGACACTGGACCACCAAGGGAAAACAATGAAAGTTTTTTTTTTTTTTATTATTTTTTTTTTTTTTTATTACAATCCCCTCACTGTCACCCCACCCCACTGTGTCACTCCCTCTCTCACTCTGTCACTCTGCCACCTGTCACCCCCTTCCTTAGTGTCCCTCCCTCAGTCACTCTGCCACCTTTCCCTCACTGTCTCACCCCTTCCCTCAGTCACTCTGTCACCCTCTCCCTCAATCATTCTGCCACCCCCTCACTGTACCTTTAAGAAATGTGTAGTGCAGGGCTTGGGACGATTTAGATAGATAGATATATATAAATATACAGTTCTGAAGAGTCGTACACCTCCAGCAGCAGCAGCCAGTACTCTTCTCTTGCGAGCACGGCAACAATCTCGGAGCTTGCGAGAGAAGAGTACTGGCTGTTGTTGGAGGTGTAAGATTACACTCAGGGCCCCCTCTTCACTGTCCTCTAGCTCTACTGGACCACCAGGGAATCATGTATCCCACCTCCATGCCCACAGGTAAGAGGCAGGGAGGGGGCAGGGGGGATAAGTTAAACATAAAAATTTTTAAAAAAAATAAACTGCTCACCCCCACATTTAATTTATCACCATAAACACACTACAACACAACAAACACACACTCCATGCACTACCCACACTGCGTCCACTATACACACTGTGTCTAATATGAGAGATATATAGATATATATCTCCACTATACATACACACACACTGCATCCACTATGCACATACACACACTCTGCATCCACTATGCACATACACACACACACTCTGCATCCACTATGCACATACACACACACACTCTGCATCCACTATGCACATACACACACACACACACACACACTCTGCATCCACTATGCACACACACACACACACACACTCTGCATCCACTATGCACATATACTCACACTGCATCCACTATGCACATACATGCACATACACACACACACACACACTGCATCCACTATGCACATACACACACACACACACACACACTGCATCCACTATACAGACACACGCTGCATGCAATCCACAGCCACTGCACACACTGCGGCCACTATATAAATACACACTCTGCATGCATCCAGACTGTTATCCTTTGATCCAGGCAGCAAAATGCCTTGGGCCAGCCCTGACTACATGTATGTAAATATGTGTTGTTATACATCACGTTAAAGCAGGAATAGTTTTTATACAGACTTGATGAATAATGTGAGAGTCCTATGAACTCTGGCAATATTGGTAATAAATAAATTTGGCGAATGCTAGCCCAGTTCAGTAATAAATACTAAACAAGCAGGTGTTTAAATCAGTGTCACTATACACCATAATAAAAAGAGAACAAAAACACATGGTCATTATACCTACTACAGTAATCCAAAGTATATTTAGTAACAACTAGATCGAATCAATGTGCCAAGGCTAAAAACAAAGACTTGCACTGCAACCCCTTTTATATTACATCCCATTATAAAGGGAATTAGGGACGTGTAAACTAAAAGATACATTTTAATTTAGTGAAATTAGACTAGTTACTAATGGTCAGTCATTGTTTGTAATGTAATTTGTCCACATGATTTGTGTGTTTTTTAGTTTCTTTCTGTGTGTAGGTAATCTAATAGTGAGAAATGCCACAGTTTTGCAAGGAGGGCGATTATTTTTTCTTTTGGAATGTGATCCTTTGTTAAGAAATTAATTTATAATTGTTTCTTTTTACACGCTATACATTTCTTTTAGATGACATGGTGTACAAACTTTGTTCTAAGAATCTTTGCCCAAAGGGAAATCCATTGATCACGAGTGCGAGGAAATCCCTTATAATAAAGACTGTTGACTCAACCTCCCAGGAACATGGAACTCCTTCTGAATCTTGTGGGACTACACCTCCGATACTAAGCAAAGGCAACAGAGATTTTTCATGCTGTGAATGTGGGAAAACCTTTTCCTTTCAATCCTCTTTTGTTAAACATCAGAAAATTCACACAAGACAGAAATTGTTCTCGTGTTCTGAGTGTGAGAAATGTTTTAGCTGGCATGCACATCTTGTTAGACATCAGAGAACCCACACAGGAGAGAAACCATTCTCATGTTCTGAATGTGGGAAATGTTTTAGCCGGGAAACCCATCTTGTCAGACATCAGAGAACTCACACAGGACTGAAACCTTTCTTATGTTCAGAATGTGGGAAATGTTTCAGACAGCATTCAAATCTTGTAACACATCAGAGAACTCATACAGGACAGAAACCATTCTCATGTTCGCAGTGTGGCAAATGTTTTAGCCAGCACTCTCATCTTGTTAGACATGAGAAAACTCACACAGGAGAGAAACCGTTCTTTTGTCCTGAATGTGGAAAATGTTTTGTCAGTAAATCATATCTTGATATACATCAAAAAACTCATACAGGACAGAAACCGTTCTTTTGTTCTGAGTGTGGGAAATGTTTTGGTCGGCTCTCAAATCTTGCCATACATCAGAGAAGTCACACAGGAGAGAAGCCTTTCTCCTGTTCTGAATGTGGGAAATGTTTTACCCGGCGCTCACATCTTGTTAAACATCAAAGAACTCACACAGGACAGAAACATTGGTAATATTCTGACTGTGAAAGATTTCAGCACTTACTATACTTTTCCTAATACCAATATGTGTTAGAAGGCACTCCTCATACATTGAAATGCCTGAGAATATAAAATGTTTTTAGTATGAATATGGAAAGTGTTTTGAGAGGTACATAAAAATATTGCCATGCTTTCAAGGCTTGTCCCTATGGGATAGAATAGGGGTAGTTTCCATTAATTCTCTTTAACCATCTCCATGCTGCTATTTATTTATTTTTATTTTTTACTTAAAAGTACTGACACTTGCACACCCTCCATACCTCATAATGGATTATATCGAACATAAGACAAACACAGGAATACTCAAGTATGGCCATTAAATACATACTCTTTGTTTATGATATCTACTGATATAAAATTAAGTGGGAAAACTAGTCCAGACACATAATAAAAATCTGTTGGCATATCTAACAGAAAAGCTATTGAAAGCATACTGAAATGTTTAGTTTCCTCCCCTTCATTCTATTGAGACTGCGCTGACTTAACTAATGACCTTATTGTGGCTAAATCCACTGGCTACTACTCTGTTCTATTTCTTGTAGACCTCTTTGCTGCCTTTGACACTGTTAAACATGCTCTACTTCTCCAAACACTTCACAAGTTTGGTCTTCGTGACTGTCATTTTATGGTTCTCATTCTATTCTTCGCATTAAAGAAACAACAAGCAAAATTGGTGTTGTGTGCTGCACAAAGGCATGTAAAATCACGATTAAATAAATGGTATACATTCACTGATATTCAGTCTCCTGATAAATGCTGGTATTACAATAATCCCAGTATGGAATGGAAATATTTTCCAGTTTAAATCACTTTAAAAACAAAACTTAGTGTAAAAACGTACTGAATAACAATATAAAAAGAGAATAATGCACTCACAAACAATCTGCTACTAAGAGTCTCCAGAAGGGCACGTAGCTAGGTCCAGTGGACCTTCAAAATAAAAGTAATCCTCCTTCCAACTCCCTCCGGTTCCGGATCCCTGTGTAGGAATTCCAGTGTTGGAAGGGATATCACAGCTTCAGAATGGGAGGATATCACAATTGAAGTAGTTTAAAGTAACAGAATGTTAAAAGTTTTCCGACCGGTTTCGTCCTCGGGACTTTCTCAGGAAGAAGTTGTATACAATGTCTGCCATTGGGGTTTATAAACCCAACCAATCAGTGTTCAATATGCACCCCTTGTGTTCATCGTCCAATCAGGTGAGTCTCATACAGAGAGTATTATTTCCACTGAAAAGATGGCCGTCGGAATCGTGTTCGAGTACTGGGAAAGAGGATGTTTGGACCAGGCACACAGAATAATCTCCCAGTGTTTGGACTGACGTTTCATCTCCCAGGCGGTCCATTAGACAAGGACAATTAAACCAACAGATCACCGATGTCCATATTGGTGATCCTAGTAAACCCACCAAAAACATGGCCGCAGAAGGTCCTAGCAGCGACCTGAAGGTCGCGCATCAACTTGGTGACTATTCCTCACTAGGTTGGATCCTGTAAGTCATGTCTTCTGTGGAAATATATTGATCTAACCACATGTAAATGATACTCCATCAAAACCTAGATATATGGACAAATCAGCCACTGAGAATGAATATGCTGTGCACTTTTGGGCACCTGTTCTAAGTAAGGATATTATATTATGGCACTAGAAAAAAGTGCAGAGGCGGGCTACAAAATTGATAAAAGGAATGGAGCATTTTAGTTACAAAAAGAGGTGGACAAATTTAAATCTCGTTCGTTTGGAAAAAGGGAGCCCCAGAGGGGATATGATAGCATTATATAAATATGTTCGGGGCCAATGCAAACCATTGTCTGGAAATCTATTCATAAATAGGACTAAACATAGGACACAAGGTCATACATTTAGACTGGAAGAAAGGATATTTAGTCTAAGACAAAGGAAACATTTTTTTACAGTAAAAACAAAAGATGTGGAATTATTTGCCTGGAGAAGTGGTTTTATCAGTCTGTACAGATGTTTTTTTTTTTTTTTAAATTGATATATATTTGCAGAAACATAATATACAGGGTATGCATTTTAATTAGTGGGGTAATATTTTCTTGATCCAAGGAGATATCTGACAGCAATTCTGGGGTCAAGGGTTTTCCTAGTTTGTTGCATAATTGGAAGCTCTTCAGACATTTTTTATTTTTTTTGTCTTTGGATAAATGGCAAAAATCAAACGTGATGGACGCGTGTCTCTTTTCAGCTATGTAACTGTTCCGTCAGTGTCTCCTTTTCTGGTAACACCTCATCCTGTCCCCCAAGACTCTGTCCTTGGCAACGCTGATAGCAGAGCTAAGAGAGGGAGACCGGTCCCGCAGCGTTACACCCACAACTATGGAGACTGAATATAATAGAGAAGTGAAACGCCAGCTTCCCTGCTGGGTGGCCTGCTGTTCGGTAGTTCTTTCGTATGCAGGGAATAACACATGGGGCCATACGGACAAGTGGCAATTACTGAACAAACAGACGAACTAAGGTGAAATAAAAGTAATCCAAAGACAGAGAGGTCTGTCACATATTTAATTTTTTAAAATAGGGTATTTTCTCATCCTGTCTTCTGTCTCACGTCTTCATCCAGACAGACAAACCAAAAGGAATAGAGGACCCCAGGGTTGGCCTTACACCTTTGGGCGCCTGTGCAAAATGATTTGACAGCGCCGCCATGGCCACACACCCTCACACAATACCTCCCTGTAACGGCACCCCAGGCATAAAAGGGGTTAAACGCTGTTTAGAGCATATTCCCCTTCCAGATACACAGGTGGCTACCAAAGACACCAATCTTCTGAACAGAAAACCATATGAATGCCGAAACAGCCGAACCGGAACCATACGAATGCTGTAAACAGCCGAATAGGAAAAACCATACGAATAGGTTTTCACTCCTAGCAGTCAAACTGGAACAGCATACAATAAATCCCCCCAAGAACGAGACAAGGCTCCGTTTTGAGGGTCAAGCAGTGAACAGCCAGAGCTGTGGGTTTATTGTTCTTATGTACACATTCTTACACATTAGTACCACCCACAGGGTTTTGGAAAACAACCAATAAACACGTACAATACACTCAGACACTCCCACACAAAATCCTCCCCTCTGCCTGTGATACAATTACTTTACACAATGGGTAATGTAATTATCACAGACAGAGAAATAGTTTTTCCACATTATTCATAACTTGAAAAGTATGCATCAAATTCAAATAAAACGTACATTTTCAGAATCAGCATACTCCAAATACAAACATACGCCAAAATCATACAAATTGGTCCAGTGGTTCAAAAGATAGATCGTAGTCATTTGTGACCAAATGAAGCATGGCTTTTCTGCCCAAAACCAGTTCCACAGAGTCTTCTATCCTGGAGATAATTGGGAAGTAATCCAATTATCTCCAAGGACAGAGGCAAAACTCCATTGAACACATGGCAGCAAAAGACAATAAAATACATAAAAATATATACCTGTGCAGCCATTGTATAAAACAGGTACATTCAACATATCCCCAGATAGCTCAGATCTGAGTGCACATTATTACTGAATGGTGTTCAGATCACACACATACAGTTCAATTGCCATGGAGCCAAAGTCTTTCCCATAGTCTTTCATTATACAAATGGGCTCCATGGCATAGCTATTTAGGGTATCACCGCTCAAACAGGGCAACCACCGAATGACCCGGCTTTCATATCTTTGCAGGGGAAAATCAAGCCTTTCAACATGGGGCCATAGTCTAAAGGCAGCAGGCGGTCAACCGGGCTCCTCCAATGCACAGTGGTGAGATTGGTCTCGTCACACTCCCTTTCTTATTAACCCCCAAAACAGAGATTAGAAAACTTGATAAAAATAACACTATTATTCTCAGGTGTTAGTAAAACGTATTTATTTAATCACATCTTGAAAATTCAAACACAAGTACACACTGACTTAACAAAGAGACACACACTGACTGACACACACACAGACTGACTGACACACACACTGAAATACACATAAATCGCACGGGAGGACAGTAGAGCTTCTCCCTACAGTACTTGCCACTCCCGGACCACCAGGGATGGATGTGTTTCCCCTCCTTCACCAAAGGTAAGAAGAAGGGGGGGGGTTATACAGATTTAAAATATATATATATTTTTTTGTAAATGTATCTTTACCATCCTCCCCCCACACAGCACCCCTACATCTCCCTACCCCCCCACACAGCAGCCTTCCCTACGCCCCCTCATGCAGCACCCCTAACCCCCACACCACACAGCACCCCTACCTCCCTCACCCAGCACCCCTATCGCCCCACACCACCCAGCACCCCTACCCCCCCACATGACACACCACCCCTACCCTCTCACCACACAGCACCCCTAACCCCCCACAGCACAGCACCCATACCCTCCCACAGCACAGCATCCCACACACACACAGCACCCCTCACACAGACACACTTAGCACCCCTCAGACACACACACACACACACAGCACTCCACACACAAACACATACTCTGCACCCCTCAATGCAGTATGTGTGTGTGTATTCAGCAGTCTGAATGTACTCAGCAGTGTGTGTATTCAGTGAACTGTGTGTGTGTGTATTCAGCAGTCTGTGTGTATGTATTTGTCACGATTCCGGAACCTAACACGCTAACAGGTCACAGAGAGGAAGGATGCTATACCGGTCCTTAGAGTGGCTGGAGCCAGAAAACGGGAGAATGAGAAACAAGCCGAGGTCAAAGGAGTGGAGAAGACAGGATAATCGGAATAACAAGCCAAATAATCAGTAACCAGAGAGCAACACGAACAAACTGCACTACAGGTATCACAAGACCACAACAGGGCACTGAGAGACAGGAAAGGTAAGTATAAATACCCTTTGCTTAATTCTGATTGGATAACTATGTCTCTATGCCTCCCACTGTGATTGTGGTACTGTTGCTTTAACGCCGGGTCGGGGAATAAATAAGTAGATAACTCACTAATT